GGCACTTGGGCATTGAGCAGAAGATGCAGACTATTCAAACAAACTGTACCAGCAGCTGGAGCAGAAACAGGGATCCAAACAGGTAAGCAGGGTCTGCCATTTTCTGCTGTGCCCGTCCCCAGACTCTGTTGCTGGGACTGTGTGTGTCCCACAGAAGTTGGCCTGGTGAGTGGTCATTCAGACCTGAGTTGTAGTTTGGGCTCTGCCACTAGTCAGAGTATTACTTTAGGCAAGTCATTTTGCTTTTGAGCCGTCTTTGTTTCCCTATTTTTATTTTATTTTAAAAATGTTTTTATTGATTTCAGAGAGGGAGGGAGAGGGAGAGAAAGAAACATCAATGATGAGAGAGAATCACTGATTGGCTGCCTCCTGCACACCCCCTACTAGGGATTAAACCCACAACCCTGGCATGTGCCGAGACCAGGAATTGAACCTTGACCTCCTAGTTCATGGGTTGAATGATCAACCACTGAGCCACGCCGGCCAAGCTTTGTTTCCCTGTTTTTAAAATGAGGAGATTCAATCATCATTCCAGACCCTTTTGAGATGGTATAATTCTTATGATATTAAGGTTTTCCTGGGCCATTTCCTGTATATTTCACTTGTTGAAGTGTAGTAAGTGGAAGCATTGGCTCCTACAGGAGGAGGAGGAGGAGGAATTTAAGTTAGGTGCTTGGAAGCTAAATCAGAGTTTGACCCATTGAAGTACCAGTCACTAGTAAGGATGTTCCTGACTCTACAGCATTCACACGTTTCTCCTTACCTGTGTAACTTGGGGAGAAGGACTAGCTAGCTAGCTCTGGAGTGAGTAGGAACTGTCCCAGGAAGAGGAGGACCCATCTACACGATGGTCCCGTACGATCGAAGGCAGAAAGAATGGCTATCAGTTTGTTGTAAGGTGACGGATTAGCAGAAGCCCAACCTGAAGCCTGCTCTGGTGGCTGATGAGAATGTGGTGAGCGCACTAATCATCGTGAGTGGGTAGCGAGGCCCAGTGATGAAATTCCACACTTGCCTATGTCAGGGTCGTTCTTTTGAAGACATTGCATAAAATGAATCAGATAATTCGAGACTAATCCTGACAGAGGGTGGTAGCTTTGTCTTTTGCCAGCTGCAGTGGCTCTGCCATGTGATCAGTAGCAGACTATTCAAACAAGAGTCTAAGCACAGTGTGTGGTTTACCTCGCCAGCCCTTTTAGAAATCATGTGACCGCTGACAACATTTTCATTAGGGAAAGGGAGATTTGAAATTTTGATCACAAGTAAGGGTTTATCACATTTCCATTTTATATAGTTCATACTGTCAAGAAGTGTAACTTCATTTGTAAATTGTAGAGGAAGACTGATTGTCTAGTAACTAGGATTTGATAGCCGTGGAAGGAGAGAGATGCCAGGAGAGGATCCAGAGGCCTGGAAGAAGAGGCTGTGTATTCTCGGGCACATGGCAGGGCCAGGCCTGGGTGAGACCACTATGCATCCTGGGCGCCTTGACCCCATGGTGTCATTGCCCTTGGCCAGGTCTCCTGTTGAAGGGCAGGGCTCTCCAGTGAACGTGGTAAAAGTGCTTCCTGCTGCCGCACAGTCTCTGGCTTTTACTAGGGAAGATGCTGCTACAGGCAGGACAGGCAGGAAGCAGTCCCTTCGTTGGGTTTAATGATGGCAACAGGTACTTGAATCAGACATTAACTGGGTTTGAGTCAGAATAGGGTCCACGTAATAGGCTCCTGTTCCATTGGGCCAGATACTAGTGCATTGCCCGGCCTTGCATCACTCAGGTGGTGCGATTCCACAGGAATCAGGGTTACAGGTTCTTTTCTGTAAAGTGAGTGAGCTTAGCTTGCTTTCTGGATCACCATCTGGAACCTTGTAGGCGCGACTTCTCCTTGGTACTTGTGGGCAGTGAGGAAGCCAGGCGAGCGAGAGAAGGGGACCAGCCTCAGTCTCACGCCTGTGGTCGTTCACCAGTGGTGCAGGGAAAGGTGACAGGGCCCCGAGGAGGGAGGAGAGGCCGCCTGTCCCGCGTTGTGCAGGTGCCTGCCATGGTCACTTCACTCATGGACTGCTGGTGGGTCATGAAATAAGAATGAAGTGACATACGTGCACCTAGATTTAAGGGGAGATATTATCTGCTTCTCCTCTGAAAACAGTCCATTTACTCGAGATGTTCGTTCACTACCTGCTAATCAGACTCAGCAGATGACCCGAGTCCTCATCCCCGACTGTGATGTTAGTGTGGGCAGTGCTTCAATCTCAGTGTGACTTTTGTCAAGTGAATGAGAGGTAACGTAATGGCTTTTATAATCTTTGGAAAGTATTCCATATAGTCCTTGATCTTATAATAAGGGTCATTCTTTTACAGCTGAAGAAACCTAGATTCAGGGAGTTGAATTGTTTTTCCAAGTCAGTAATCATTCATTTATAAAAAATTTAGTGGGATAAAAGGAACATATATGCAGTGGTACTCTGCTCTATGTAATCTATGGTAGTGAGTAGAAAATGACTTCTGAACCTTTTTCTGAAATTCAGGCTGTGTTAAGCACAAGTCATTGGACTACTCTGGTAAACCTAGTATATCTAAATACCAATCTCTGAACTTTCAGTTCTCCAACTAGACATTCAGTGTGCTTAGTACCCTTCAGACTTCAGGGACTCCTTTCCCTCCTGAACTGAGAGGCTCCAAGGTTAGTACACACCTTGGGGATTTAATCCACAGCTTGGATCATGTCCCGGGTTTGAGTGAACGAGGGAGGACACCTCAGTGTCCATGGAGTTGTGCAATTTGAATGAACTGATTCATCATGTGGGTAGATAGGATGTAAGCTGTCCTATTTGAACTTTTCTCTCCTGCCCCTTTTATGATTCCTGGAATTGAACTGTGCACTAAAGTCCCTTATTAAATTTGCCTGCCATTTTTAACCTGGGGAAAGTCTCATTTATAGTCTCAGGGTGTGGTCCTTAGGGGTGTTTTGTTTTTTAAAATTAAAGCTTTGACCTGGCCTTTTCAGTATTTCTTATGAGTTGAGAATCTGCTGCAGCTGCCTTAATTGTGGACCATCTGAGGATTGATGCCCAACTCTTTACCTTGAACAGGTGTTCAGATCTATGACCGGACAAGTGTTATTCACGTGATGATCAAAAAAGGTGAAGTTACTGGCGTGGAGACTGATAAAGGACAGATCGAATGCCAGTATTTTGTCAATTGTGCTGGTCAGGTAAGTTAGCAACAATAGCGGGATCTCTGGTTTCCTTATTTACCTTTTATCTCCGGGACTTTTGGTGTAGAGACTTAAGATTATTTAGGGACAAAGTGAACCCATGTCAGGGGGCACTGTTTCCTGTGTGGGCTGGAGCACTCCGACGAGGAAACCTGCACTGCTCCTCCTGTGGAGCGTCGGTGGCCTCCTTCCTCCTCCCTCTGGGTGACTGGTTTCCCCGTCCGGGCCCTGGAAGCACTTGTGCATTTACAAATATAAAAGATGCGAAAGGGTCTATATGAAGAGTTTCCCTCCCATCTTTAATATATTTTTAAAATACAGGTGTGGGCAAAAGCAGATTTATAGTTATAATTCAAATAAGTAAATAAGAATAAACTCTGTGTTTTACATACTCACAACTGTAAACCTACTTTATTATGAGAAATATCAAACTTACCCACCAGCCAGCTCCACAGTCTGGTGTCGTTGGTGACCACTGCCCCACTGGCCTGCTCCCAGATGATGGACTCACCTTAAAACAGGTTGGGCATCTGTCCTTGCAGCCATGCCAGCACAGGGAACCTGCCCTTCATTGCATCTCCCTCGGGCGCCCTGTGAGAGCTTTAGCACCGAGCCCTTCGAGACCCTTATCTGTAACGTGTTTGCTCTTCCATAGCTCCTCTCCTTCCCAGAGCATCTTCTTTGTCAGTCTGCATGCCAAGCACCTCATAGGTGTGTTCCCTGATTCCAGCAATGGCTCTGCTCTCTGATAAATGGCCCCGTTGCTGTTGTTACAAAACCTCTTCCAAAAGATTTTATGAAAGGAGAGGGAGGAGTTAGAAAGTATGAGGAGTTGGAAGGTTTGAATTCCCTGAAGCTGAGGACTCTGTTTGGCTGTTTTTATTGCTCAGAGCCCCTGTTGAGCTCCCTCCTGCGTAGGATGCCAGACCTGGAGACATTGGAGATCATGAAGTTGGTCAATTGCCCCGAGACCTTCACACCAGACATGAGGTGCATCATGGGCGAGTCTCCTTTGGTTAAGGGCTACTTTGTCCTGGCAGGAATGAACTCTGCTGGCCTTTCGTTTGGTGGAGGAGCTGGAAGGTAAGTCTTTGTCACTCACACTCAGCTTGCTGGGCTTCTTTTTCCCTAGAATGACTTGTTAACGTACTAGATGAAGTGTATTGTATACCTTACTAAGAAGAAGGAGGTACATGTAATTTAAAAGTATCTCCCTCAAAGCAGTCAGTTTGGGAGGCTTTCCTGACATTTCAGAAATGTCACTGCAAATTATTTCTGGAACTCCTCTTTTGGAGTCAGCCACCTAGCCTGTGGGATGTTGTGTGTGTTGTAAAAAATGTTGGTCAATAATGAAACTGGACATTAAAGGAGGAGGTTTAGAATATAAGATGAATTGTTACAGACCTGTTACCTTACCTGTGGATTCCCAGATGGGGTTCCTCAGAGAGTAGTTGGATAAACAGAGTAAAAATAAAGTCCAGTGACTGCATTCTGATGGTAGCTGAGTCTAGTAAAAGGTCGCTGGCTGCTTCTCTCAGATCATCTTCTTTTCTTTCCACGGGTGTGACCAAGAACGCACACACGCTGTTTCCACATAAACATGGGCTCACAGGCACGTGAGTGACACATCAAGTGCCAGGCTTCTAGCGTGAAGTCAGTTGTAAGGCAGGAGGTCGAGCCCAGTGACCGGCAGTCACTTCAGGAGGAACGGAGGCTTCTCTCTCCAGCCAGGCCAGCACTGCAGGGCGGGGACAGAACGCCTGTACCTACTGCCCCTCGGTTTCCACATTCTGTTTTACACTTGGCAACACAGGAATCAACGGTTTTATGTGTGATGTTGTCTTTTGTGATGGCAAACACATACAGATGAATATTTCATGGACATGATAAGAGTAATTAAAGTGTCTTTTTATTCATTTATAAACCTGGTAATATGAAAAGAAAAACTTAATTGAAGTCCGGCTTGATAGAAATACAGTGCACAACGTTGATACCGTGTTCATGGAGGCAGAAAGGCTCGGTCACCCTGTGCCTGTCAGCAGGGCCCTTGAGAGAAGATCCCGTTTACCTAAGTGCCTCAAATGGCTTCAGGACCACCTGCTAACGCTACACACAAAGGGACAGGAAGGGGCGGGACAGACTGCACAGTTATAGGTGCGGATAATGAGCTAATGCACTTGACAGTCATTGCAGTGGCGCTTTGACACATCCCGAGAGTTGACCGGAGAGGAAGGTGTGAGTGTGCTGCTGGAGAACCCTCACTGAGACGAGCTGGGGCAGCCTCTACCCACACCCACCTGCTCTGGGGAAGGAGAGGTGAGCGGGTGAAGGAACCCTCAGCCTGAAATGGAGTTACCTTTGCCTCCCTCCTGTCTCCACCCACCATGGGACACTCTGGAGTGTAAGGCACGAGAACTGGCGTGGAGAAAAGATGTGCTCCAAGCCCCAGTTCTTGGTGTGCAAAGGGATTCCTGGCTTAGATCTTTTGAAACAGGTGCTAAAAATATCCTTCCCACCTCCCCTAATTTTTGCACTTAAGAGGCAGAAGGATTGCAAAGGATAAAAATAGCTGCATCTAAATATCATGAGAAAAATGGCCCATGAGAAATGTGTAATTCTCCAAGGACACTGTTCAGAAAAGTCAAGAATCATATTATGAAGAAACAACTCTGGTGTGTAATGGACAAAGAAGGCAACACATACAAAAATAGTTCTCTTGTAAAATAGTGCATTTGTTAGTGATGAGGGGCTGCGCGTGTGAGCCCCACACTGACGATGAAGGAGCCTTACAACTCAGCACCTTACAGTGGAGGCAGGGGGAGGTGCTGACTGGCAGACCTACAGCTTACTCACAGCTTACAGTTGGATGTCCTAGTTAATGCAGGAAACACTGTTTCACCTACCATTTCTTCCACTCAAGTGTGCTTCTCCTGAACCCATGTGCCTGGAAATGATGTGTGAGGTGAAAATTCTTTCCTCACAAGAAAATTTCCCCTATATTGTGTTGATAAAATGCTGCTTATATCAGAGTTTGTAAGGGACAGGAGGGGGAAGGTAATAGGGGGAAAACCCCAGAAGGTTATTCTTTAGCATTAAGCACTGCTGACCAAACCTCTGCCTTAGACACTAGGGAGGATCCTTGCTGCCTACCCTGTGCAAGGAGCCACAGAGAAAAGTGAGCCTCGCAGCTTACCCCTGAAAGCGGGCCAGTGAGCTGTCCTACTGGGCACAGCCTTCCAGGTCAGAACCAAGACCACAGGTCACAGAAGGGTCCCTCTTACCTGCCTCAGGTTCTGAAAGGATGGTGAAGACACTCAGATGCCCCACGTGTCCGTGAGTCAGAAATCAGGGCAGGGAGTCCTCTCTTAGTGACTGCTCTACGCCTGCAGAAATGGGATCTTTGGGCCAAAGTGAAGTAGGTTAATCACTGGGCTAAAACCTTTGGCCCTAGCCTGAATGGCATTGCTCAGGTTTGGGGGTACAGGGACTCCCCAGAAGAGCACTAGCACTGTGGTGGGAGTTGTTCCCCTGTGCCTCCTGGAGCATGTCCTGCACATGCAGGTATGAGACTACATCACAAGTTAAAGGGCAGCAAACAGGTTATCCAAGTGGGTACTTTTTGTTCTTAAAACTTTCTTAATTAGCGCTTTTCTGACTTCAGTGACAGTATCACAGATGGGAATCTTTCTAATAACACACTTCAATTTAAGGCCACGACCGTGGCAAGAAACAAGACAGATGTGTGCAGGAGGGGCTTAGAAGGTATCTCAAGGGAGGAGGCGGCGCACAGGAGACTTGCAACCCCTGGGTCTTCATCTGCTTGAGGCTAACACACCTTGTGCTTTTAGGTTAAAAGATTCCCTCAATTGAATATGCTGACAAGATAGAAGAGGCCCCCCGTCCCCCACCGCTCCCCAAGAGGTGATGATGGATCCTTTCAGAGAAGAAAGTACCAACCATCTTAAAGTCCATCCCCCCAGTCACAGGAGTCCAGAACCCCTCGAATCCCTAGAGAGAGGTAAGTGGTCACACAAGACAAACACTTGGGGCCTCACTGCCCCAGAGATGGAAATGACATACACATTAGGTGTTGAGACTGTCATTTATGCTAGAGGTGGGAGTCAGTCAACTCCTCCAGATTTAGGACCAAATGGAGAAAACTACCAGATTCACGCTGCCTGTATCTGAACAAAAAGAGACTTCAGGGATAAACTTTGAAGTGCCCAAAACTAATGTGTGCTGCAGGGCACTCAGTAAACAAGTGACGCCCTCTGCTGTGGACAAGAAGACATTTATGCGTAACTAGAAAAGGTGATTTGGGAATGGTGCAGAGCGTGTAATACCTGTAGCCCTCTAGCACCTGTTTCCATCTTCTTGGGCCAGTCGGCTCCCTGCTGGTTACCTGCATTGGCACAGCTCCTGTTCTCCCGCGGGGCACACCTCTCCTTTCTCCTCTGTGCCTAGGAGCAACATCTCTCAGCCATTACATACACATCTGCACCAGAATAGCAAGGCCCGCCAAGCAATTCTAATCACATGCTCCCTTAACAAATCAACTAAGACCTCCTAAACAGGTGGGCACTGGCTGGGGAAATGGCAAGACATGCCTAGAGGCAGACAGTCTGATTAAGGGGGTAAATAGCAGCCAGAGCAGGCTGGCACCTGGAGCACCTTCGTTATTAGACTTACAGACCTAGCAGAGCTAATGTGTCTACGATGTCAGTACAACAAAGACTGCAGTTAATTAGTTACATCTCTAGCAACAGTTTATACTTTTAAGAAATCAGCTTTGGTGACGGGAAACTAAGAATTAAGTGTTGGGATGAATAGTATAGTCTGATGTCACTCAATTTTCACCCTTGAAAGACACTTCTGAACTGTGCGTGACCCTCTTGGAAGCACTCCAGTCACTTTCTATTCCAGACGAGACGGAAAGCAGTCTGCTAGGCTCACACAACAGACACCCTCCTCGCTCAGAACCCACGTGGGTCAGCTATGGATCTGTCCTGCCCGAGGAAGCAGAACTTGGCAGTCCAGTCCTCTTGAACTCAGTATGTGTGCTGCCCTACCTTCCCCTCCCTCTTCCTAAAGGGAAGAAATATTTGCTGAGCTAGTGAGCCTACCACCGAAGGGACAGGAAGAGAAAGCAGCACTGTTTGGTGTTGGTACTTTCTGAGGTTAAGACCCTTTCCTTTCATCTGAAAAAAGCAACATGGTTTTTCCCTTTCAAATACTGTGGCTTACTTGTTTACTCAACCAAACAAGCAAAGCCCCTCATTACAGAGATTAACAAGCGATGAAGAAAATTATAGGCAGGTGTCCCTGGTCCTCTGGTCGAGAACTAGTTGTTAGGGAGGCTGGGAATAATGTCAGCTTGACTTTCTCTCTGCAGCCCACCCGATGCCTCTCGTCAGTGAGGTAGATGGTCATCTTGCTCGAGGTATCACGGTGCCAGCCCACAGCACAGTGGAACAGGAACGCAGCTGCCTGGCTGCAGGCACAACTGCCTCAGGGCCGTAACAAGCACACAGCAACTCATCACCGTCAGCAGGCGGCTCTGAGAACACCTGGCCCACGGAGATGGACTCCTGCCTGCACACCACCAGCTTCCCTGGCTTCCCAACACAGCATGTGACATCCGACTGCCACCACACACACTTCTACAAGTGGGGCTTGCTCCTGTCCCCATGGGAATCTGAGACGGGTGGACGGATGGGACAAACAGCTCAGACTGAGTGTGAGGAGATGAAAGGACAAGAGAGGCTGCAAAGCAAAAAGTTTAAAATGATACCAAGGAGATAAGAAATGGAAGGTAAAGGTTAAATCGAGAAGAGGGACAGGATCAGGACAGAGGCTCCTAAGACGGTAAGACTGCCTGGCATTACTTCCCATGCAAGTCACTTAGCTCCACGTCTTCCTTTCGGCGCTTATGGGTGTAGAGGGAGGCGACCGGGTAGAGCCGGGCCTTGGCCTGGAACCGCTGTCCCGCGATGTCAATCTCATACTCTCCCCGGTTGATGAAATCTGCCGTCACCACCTGCTCTTCCCCAGTGTCCTCGGAGAAATTGTGCACGAAGCCCAGGCAAACGTGGCGCTCCAGGGTGTAGCTATAGGCACTGCTGGTGGTCTTGCCAGCGTACAGCCCGTTTCGGTAAATGGGCTCTCCCCACCAAGGCCAGAGGTCCAGGTCTGTGTCGTGGTCGTCCAGGACGAACATAGCCAGGCGTTTGTACACCCCATTCTGCCTCTGCTGCAGCAGGGCATCTCGACCAATGAAATCCACCCCCTGGGGAAGAAAGGCAACACTGAGTCATCCTCACGAGCAGCACAGTGGGCGGGTCCCCTGTGTCACTGTGTGGAGTGCAGCGCTCCCCCCACCCCAGGGCAGGCTTTGGGGACATTGCGTTTGTCCACCATGTGAAAAACTGCATTCACAACATAAGAGATGCCTTCAGAGGATGTTTGTAACACAGGTACCCATATTTTTTTTCTATTTTATAAACAGGGATTTCAATAACAAGACCAAATAGAACAAAATATTTAGGAAGAAAAATCAATATTCAAAAACCACTTGCTAGAATATTTTAGAAAAACTGCATTTTTATATAATCCCAACAAAAAGTCCATGCATATATGTCTGTATGCAATGCATACATGTTTATATATGCATATATACAAAAACAAGAGCAGGATAAAAACTCAATAAAGTATGAATCACTTTAGTTTTGACATATTTTATTTTCCAAAATGAATATTCATTACTTTTATATCAGAAAAATTGTTATCTATAATTTCTCAAAAAGAATACTGTAGATCTATACTGGTAGGGAATGATTGTTAAAATAATATAGCAAAGCCCTGGCCGGTTTGGCTCAGTGGATAGAGCGTCAGCCTGCAGACTGAAGGGTCCCAGGTTCGATACCAGTCAAGGGCATGTACCTTGGTTGCGGGCACATCCCCAGTAGGAGGTGTGTGGGAGGCAGCTGATTGATGTTTCTCTCTCATCAATGTTTCTAACTCTCTATCCCTCTCCCTTCCTCTCTGTAAAAAAATCAATAAAATATATTTAAAAAATAATAATAATATAGCAAGGATGTAGTATCCAACCATCTAGGTTAAAAAGAGTGGCCAGGGGCCCTAGCCGGTTTTGCTCAGTGGATAGAGCATCAGCCCTTGGACCTAAGAGTCCTGGGTTTGATTCTGGTCAAGGGCACATACCTCAGTTGCAGGTTCATTCCTGGCCCAGTCCCAGGCCCTGGTCAGGGTTTGTGCAGGAGGCAACCAATCAATGTGCTTCTCTCACATCGATGTTTCTGTCTTTCCCTCTCTCTTCCACTCTAAAAAAACCAATGGAAAAATATCCTCGGGTGAGAATTAACACTTGGAGTGCGGGTGAATTTCCCGCCAAAATATAAGATGGCTCTGTCTTTTGGTTTTGTTCCATCCACCAAAAGGGTGGATTACAAACAAATATTTGGTAATACGCAGTTACAATCGGCCCGAGTTTACACGTTTCCCGCACTCCACCGCAAATCTATATGAACCGAGTTAAAGACGGCTCCCTCGGAGTACGCGCAATTCACGCGAGCCCACTTAACTCGTTTCCCGCACTCCAAGTGTTAAAAAAACAGAAGGGAAAAAGTGGTGAGGGGAGCACACCCGTGCCATCCCCTGACCTCTAAGGGACTCCACAAGACTTGCAACCAAGGGAGCAATAGGCAGCGGCAGCTCATCCTGGGCTAAGGCTCCCTGTTCTCCGATTTCCCAGTGAGCTAAGGCAGCCCAGGCTCCTGTTACTTCTATGCCTTTGTCTCACCTTCCTAAGTATATTTTTGCTCTCATCAATAAACACTCATTGGTTCACAACACACTGAAATTCTAAAGGAGAGACAAGAAACTGTTCCTGGCAAAGGTGGCAGTGAGACAGGTGGGGTTCAGAGGTAGAGAAGTCACACTACATGCTCTTCAGTTATGACTTTTTAAAAACATCATGTTCATGTATTACTTTGAAAAGAAACTAAAAATTAGGCAGTTGAATGGAAGGTAACTAATTTTTACAAATAATCATGGCATGTTCATGTACCACTACATTCTACTCAGAAAAACTTCCCCAGAAAGCACTCAGTCTAAAAGAGAGCAAAGTGCTGAAAACAGGTGCTGGCGGTTTCTTGTTCTCATATTAAGATGTTTTATCCCATAGACACACTAATCATTCTAAGGACATCCTAATCATCACTGTTCACCTGGCGCTATCATCGAGGTCTCAGCACTTCCACCCTTTCCTTCCACATTAGCCCACTTCCTGCTCTAACACAGATGCCCTGCACGGGCAGGTGAGTGACAGGAGTGCGCACGGACACAGTACCTTCTCGAATTTCACCCGAGACTCTCGTCCACATTCCAGGGGGGTGGTGAGGGTATTCAGATCCTGACCCCAGAAGGCAAAAAACTTCTCAATTCGGAGACTACGAAGAGCATAATACCCAGCATTCCGGATCCCGTATTTCTGCCCCACACTCATCACTTCATTGTAGACATGTAGGGCATACTAGAGGGAAAGATGAACGGGTGGTAAGCAGCAGACCTTCAGATTTCAACCTGGAGTGTGTCTGGCGTGCCTGATGGCTGACACTATTAATCTGGATGGGGAGGTTTGTATAAAATTCTCAGGACGCCTCATCAACAAACCAAAGTGCTACAGCCCAGGAGTATGCCAGGGTCACCCCTACCTCAGACATAAGCTCCATGAAAGCAGCATCCATGTCTTTTCATGTCTCTAAAATGTCTAGGAGACTAACCTAAGTACTGACTAGAATATAGCAATTATTAGATAACTCATAGCAGCACTCAGCACCCAGTAATGACTAAGCTCAGCTGCTGCTCAAATAGCCCGCTCACCCTCTGCTGGCTTTGTTCCCTGCCCAATTCCCTATGCACCGGCCCACGCTACGAAACGTGGTACACGTCACTCTAACGTGTGCCCATTACGTGATTTTTCACAGATGACAGCATATCGTAGAGATCCAGAGTGAGTCGCAGAGGAAGGAGTCAGGGAAGCAGAGCTCTCCTCCCTGCCCCACACCATCAGCCTCTCCCAAGGGAAACTAAAGCTGCACTGACCAACTGTTTTGCACCTATCAGCCTAGAGTTTGGCACCTCCATGTGTTGGTACACTCTTGCACACTGCCGAATTTTCATAATAGTAAAGGATTAGAAACACCATAAATGTCTATTAGTACCAGGCTGGTTAAATAAATTATGATGGAATAATATGCCACTATAAAAAAAGAAAGGAAAAAAGAAAGAGGAAGTTCTTTCTCTCTAAGTACTCATAGGAAAAAGATCTCTAAGATAAATTGTTAAGAAATACAAAATGAACGCCCCGCTGGCGTGCCTCGGTGGTTGAGCGTCCACCTGTGAACCAGGAGGTCACGGTTCGATTCCCAGTCAGGGCACATGCCCGGGTTGTGGCCTGGATCCCCAATGTGGGGCACACAGGAGGCAGCCGATCGATGATTCTCATCATTGATGTTTCTAACTCTCTCCCTTCCTCTCTGAAATCAATAAAAAATATATGTATTTAAAAAAAAGATGAACAGTATGCTTCTGTGGGTCTAAAGAGGGTTAAAAATATGTCTTTGAACTTCCATATTTACAAAAATTTCTGACATGACAAAAAACTAAGATCACATAGAAACTGGTCAAATGGAACTGAATACTTTGGGTTTTTTTTAAACCATGTGAACATATCTATTTTTTAAAAAAGTAAATACCTTAGTTAAACATGCTAAAATGTCTTTATCGCAGCCTCCTCAATTACCAGGCACAACAGACTCTAACCCTGCCAGTGCTCAGCAGGTGTGGGACACCAGCACACCTCCCTGCTTCTCACCTCTATGGGGATGTAAAGCATGAAGCCCGGCTCTCCCGTGTGAGTCATGCTCATCACCCGGATCCCGTTGGCATAGCCCACACTCATCTCCTGTGGAAACAAAGGGAGATAGTCAGCGTCAAAACTCCAAGGGAAGTGGATGGTGTCTGAGGCAAACCCCTCTCCTTAGCTCTGCACCCTTTGACCCTAAAAGAGACATGTGAATGAAAGACTTCCATCCTCAAAATGATCCGCTTTCAGGTCTCCAGGTCATTAGGGATGGAACAAAGCCTTTACAATGTCTTTTCTTTGAATATCACCAATATCAGGAGTGCTAGCCAAGCTGCTGATGGAAGTGGAGGCAAAGTCTTGACAAACAGGAAACATTACTTTTTGCAAAGTCCAGCTAAAGATTTGTTTTAGGTGCATAGGGAGCAATGAAGACCAGGCGAAGTCTCCTCTGGGGCACTCGGAAGACAGTCCTAGGCACCTGCCCACAAAGGATGATATCTGGTGCCCAGAGAACAAGGTTCACCTGCTATCCTGGGGTCTGATGTTCAAAACGTGTTCACAGCAGCTCCGTTACCTCTGTCTCAATTCCTGTTCCTGTGAAGGAAAGTGCTAAGTCCTAGGTGGCACTAAAGCAAACTTTCCACAGGAAGTTGGGCATCACATGGTGCTCTGCAGGCACACACGGATGGATCACTCATCAAGAAGCAAAGACATGCCCTGACTGGTTTGGCTCAGTGGATGGAGTGTCAGCCTGTGGACTGAGGGGTCCCAGATTCGGTTCTGGTCAAGGGCATGTGCCTTGGTTGTGGGCACATCCCCAGTGGGGGGTGTGCAGGAGGCAGCTAATAGATGTTTCTCTCTCATCGATGTTTCTAACTCTCTATCCTTCTCCCTCTCTGTAAAAAAATCAATAAAATATATTTAAAAAAAAAAAAAAGGCAGAGACAACCCTAGCCAGTTTGGCTCAGTGGGTAGAGCGTTGGCCTGCATACTGAAGGGTCCTGGGTTCGATTCCAGTCAAGGGCACATGCCAGGTTTGCTGGCTCGATCCCCAGTGGGGACATGCAGAAGGCAGCTGATCAGTGATTCTCATCATTGATGTTTCTATCTCTCCCTCTCCTCCCTCTCTGAAATCAAGAAAATTTTAAAAAGAAGCAAAGACACTGTGAAGGAGTTAGTAATGGCTAATGGTGAGTTTTCTGTGGCTTTCACTCTGCCATGGAGGAAAAGGAAAACTAAAATCAATTAGTAGGTGGATCCCAATTTTGGTTTGAACATCAAAGAGCCTCCTTCAATAACTGTCCCCAAGCTGCTTGTTACAGGTTCACAAAAACATCTCTCCATTTGGACTGCAAATCAACCATTTCGAGAGTACACCGTTATTTCTTTTTTATTCAGTTACAATTTGTTTCACTCAGCTATAGTTGCCAAGTATAAGAAAGAATCTTACATAAGTTGTTTAGGGATTCACCTACACCAGTGGTCGGCAAACTGCAGCTCGCGAGCCACATACGGCTCCTTGGCCCCTTGAGTGTGGCTCTTCCACAAAATACCGACTTCTGTGCATGGGCCATGAAGTTTCAATCGCACTGTACATGCGTGCCTGGACGTGGTATTTTGTGGAAGAGCCACACTCAACGGGCCAAAGAGTCGCATGTGGCTCGCGAGCCGCAGTTTGCCGACCACTGACCTACACCATTTATTACCTGAAGATGCCACATACACAGAAGCTGCTCTGCCTCTGGGCATGGGAGAGAGGAAGAGCTACTGGAGAGAAGGGACCTAACCCTGACCGGCGTTTTATATCCTATAACGTAGAATCTGCTGTTACAGAAAGCAATAAATATATAGAACTGATACTCAGAGAAGTTAAATCCACTTCAAATATATCCTAATGCTTATTAAATAAGGAGAACTTGAAGGGTGAAAAATAAAGAATTTATTCTGTCATTTTATTAATAAGTCAGCACATTTTGTGGGTGTTACTGCCAGAGTAAGAACATGCAATTGCCATCTCTTAAAAAGATATTCCCTGCCCATTCAAACACTAGAACCTTACTGGCACCCACCTTGCAGAAGAGGCTTGGGAAGTGGTCTGGAGTTATCGGGGCATAGGACAACTCGGACAGCACATCCACAGCTCGAGGACCAATCAGGTTGAGGGCTAAACAGAAAAGAATAAGCGATGTCTGGCCGCTCCAGGTAAACAGCTGAGCCAATGGGAAAGGTCTGTTGTGGACTTGCTCACCTATAACCAGGCCTGGCTGGCAAGACCACAAGAACATCCCTTTGTTTAGGCGATGCAAGGTGCACCTGATTCTGACAGATACACCTCTCCCGACAGGCCTGCTAAATGCAGCTACTGACTGCTGGCAGGAGAACTAACTGGAGTGTTTCCTCTTCCTAGGGACACAGGAAGGGAACATTCCATAGCCTCCTTTGCAGTCAGATGGGACCGTGAGACCAAGTCCCGGCTGGACATACTCTCCTGCATACTTCCCATTCCCCTCATCTTCCCAGTGTGGCTACGTGATGGGAAAAGCCCCAATCCCAAATCAGGACCAGGAGGAGAGCTGCCCGATCACTCTGGATCTGTCCGTTTGTGACAGCAGCCTGTGCTAAGTACACTTTTAACTATCTTCATTCAGCCATAAAACAACTCTGGTTCAACAAGATTCTGTAGTTTGCCAATCTGGTAGCAAGAGTTTGTAATATTTGCTGCTACAATGAATTGAGAAAGAGGGCCTGCTGGAATGAAGGGCAGGAGTAGGTTAAGTAGGGGGAGGGAGGAATTACACCTAGAATGGTGGGATGGCATTAGAGGAGGGCTGCTCCCCTGACTGAACCACTGAGACCATCAGGAAATTTAAGTCATCCTTAAAAATTATTTACTCATTGCCCAGCCAGTGTGGCTCAGTGGTTGAGCATTGACCTATAAACCAGGAGGTCAGGGTTCAATTCCCAGTTAGGGCACGTGCCTGGGTTGCAGGCTCAATCCCCAGTAAGGGGCATGCAAGAGGCAGCCGATCAAAGATTCTCTCCCTCTCCCTCACGCTGAAATCAATAAAAACATATTTTAAAAAATTATTCACTCATTTTAAAAAAAGCTGAGGAAAATAATACTTAGATAATAAATATAAAAATGCTTTAAAATTACTTACTCTAGAAAACAAGAGAAAATAAAAATTATTTACTCGTTCACTCAACAAATATTCACACTCCTAACATGCTGGCTGCAGGGGACATAGTGAACAAAACAGTAACTGAAGAACTCATTCCACATTTTCCTTAAAAAACACAGGAAGTGCCCTGGCTGGTTTGGTTCAGTGGATGGAGCGTCGGCCTGCAGACTGAAGGGTCACAGGTTCGATTCCGGCCAACGGCACATGCCTGGGTTGCGGGCTCGATCCCCAGTAGGGGGCGTGCAGGAGGCAGCCAATCAATGATTCTCATCATTGATGTTTCTATCTCTCTCTCCCTCTCCCTTCCTCTCTAAAATCAATAAAATGTTTTAAAAAAACACACACACAGAAGTATCAGAGACCAATTTTCTATAACCAGCGAGCCTCTTCCGCTTCTAATCCTGACAAATCTGGATCAGCTCCCCTGGGGGACCCGGAGAGAAGTACCTGTGTATTTCCAGGTGACGTCCTCCAGGAGCAGGTTGCTGTCTAGCTGCATGTGCTTCTTAAGCCAGGCCCAACTGTGGACCTGCTGGTCGGTTGGAGAAATCATGAAGAAACTGAAAGTGAGACCCACAAGCAATCAAAACCAGGCAGCAGAGAAGAGGATCGGGAAGCAATCAAGTTCTGAGCTAGTGTCAAAGCAGTGGGTAGAATACTGGCCAACGAGCTCTTAGCCTCCAGAGGGCCAGGAGCACGGAACTTGAGGATACACCATGTAAGGACAAGCAAAGGCTGACTTCTGTCACTATACAGACCTACTAATACAAGGTAAGACGTCTCCTCCCAGTAGGGTAACTAATTTTCACATCGAGTTTTGCATAACCTGGTGAGTTTTTTTCTTTCAGGTGATTTTTTGTCCTATACTGCTAATGGACTGGCCATGAGGTAGTGAGGTGTTCTGTCCTTCCTGGGGGAGCTGGGAGCTCTGCTCTGCCGCAGTACCCGGGGACCAGTGCCGGAGGGAGTCAGCGCGGCAGCTGACCTCACCTGCGCTTGTTCAGGCGCGCTATGCTGCAGTCATTTTCATATCCTCCGCCCTCATTGAGCATGCCGGTATGCACAATGTGGCCCACGGGTACGTCAAGGTCATTGGAGAAGAGGTACTGCAGAATTTCTAATGCCTGATCTCCAGTGGACTGCAGAGTTAAGACACAAAGCAGAGAGAGCACAAGAACAGTTGGCTGGTAACACGGACTCATGAGCAACATGAGGCAGTTATTTTATATATTTAGGATATATTTTCATGCTATGAAAATTCAGTTATTTTATAACATTAGGATATATTTTCATGCTATGAAAATTCAGTTAGCCAGGACTCCTGCAACAACATTTGCAGATTTATGCCACTGTAGGAAGCACCAGAGAAAGCTGGCTATTGATTCTAATGATAAATGGGCCTCTGTAAGCAGATTAAAAACCAGAAACAAAGAGCTAAAAATTCAGAAAAATGTAATAAAGATACGATATTAAAATATACCAGAGTTCTTACAGAATCAGTTTTAAAGAGACAGATGAAAAAAGGAGGCACCGTCTCCTAGTCTGTTATATTGGTTTCCAATTACTTACTGTTATTTCAAACTTTGTGAAAGAGGACATGTCAATGACACATACGGCTTCCTTACAGCACTTGACTTCAGACTCCACAATGTCAAACCAGTCCGGCTTATAGAAAGTCTTGCTCTGCTCCAAAGCCAGGAGGTCTATAGACCAGAAAAACAAAAGGAGAAGATTTATACTGGGGAGTCTCCTGTATAGTTAGGTTTTTATTATTTATTCTCCCAGGAACACATTCTAGCCATATACATTTAAAAATAAATTATATTAATTCTCAAAAGCAAAAAAGTGAACAAAAATGAGAATGTGCCTCTTTACCCTTGTCTGGTGGCACAAAG